TTAAAAAAAAAAAAAAGAATAAGTACACTAAAAAACAAAACAAACAGGGGGCCAGGGTGATGGCTCAGTGGAATAAGCGCTTCCCTGGCAAGTACAAGGGCCTGAGTTCAATCCCCAGTTCCACAAAAAAACCCAAAACAAACAAAAGAATAAGTACACTTCTTTTGAGGCTTTCATACAGCTTTTCAAGCATATATACTGGTTGAATAATTAGCTTATAAACGAAAATACAGAACAGACTGTAATTTATACCACTGCGGCCCATGCCAGGGAACCCTGACATCGCTAAATCCATTCTCATGAGCGTCCCCTGGTGGCAGAAAACTTTTTTGTTTTGGAAAAGTTAAAACAGTATTACCATAATGTAGTTTGTTTCCTTTAAGCTTTCCTGAGACTTAAAAAGTTTAACCTGAAGGGCCTGCAAGATAGGTCAGCAGATTAAGTCCTGCTTAGGCAAGTGAAGTGACTAGGGTTCTTACATAGAGACCAGGCGTAATAGTGCACACCTGTAATCCCAGCGCTGGGGAGGCTGAAACAGGAGGATCACTGTGAGTCTGAACATAGTGAGACCCTGCACCAAATACATAAGAGGAAAAAAAGTATAGCTTGAGAAAGTGGCAAGAATGATAGAATTCTTTTTTGAGGTACCAGGGATTGAACTCAGGACCCTGTGTTTGCCAGGCAGGTGCTTATTCTACTGAGCTATCTCCCCCCACGCCAAGTATGATAGAATTCTTAAAGAGACAATGAAGATGACAGTAACAAGTTAGCACAATGAAGCTTAGTTAAAACAGCTGCTAGGCACCTCCATGTTTTAAACTTGTTCTTAGTTTAGTGTCTTTACACTTGTTGAGACAAAAAATCATCATGTTCTGCTGTGGTCTCTGATGAATAAAAGAAGGAAATCGAGCACAATTCAAGCTAGTATGAGGTATGCGCTGCTCTTCACACAGAACCCCACAACCCAGCTGGGGGGAGCACGAGTCTGAGGAAGACGACACCTCCCAGGCCTGGTGTGTGTGTGTGTGTGTGTGTGTGTGTGTGTGTGGCCAGCTTAGCCCACCAGGGGCGGGGCTGGCTGGCATGTGGTGCTGGGGGATTGAACCGCGGTCCCTGTGCTTTGCTAAGTTTGTTCTAAGTAGATGCTTTAGACCACTGAGCTATCTCACCAGCCCTTTAATTTTAATTTTTTTTTAAGTGTGGGATTTTAATACATGTGTAGTGTTACTATACCACAAGATATTCTTGAAATTCCCAATTTTTTTCTTGCCTCTCAATTTTTTAAAAATTTTATTTATTTATTTATGTGTGTGTGTGTGTGGCCAGCTCAGCCCACCAGGGGGCGGGGCTGGCTGGTATGTGGTGCTGGGGGATTGAACCACGGTCCCTGTGCTTTGCTAAGCTTGTTCTAAGTAGGTGCTTTAGACCACTGAGTCATCTCACCAGCACGCCTCTCAATTTTTTGAGGGCATGTGTATGTATATGGGAGGTTTGTCTAGATAAGTCTGTGCTAGTTAAAAATTTCAACTTCATATGATTTTCCTTAGGAACAGTGGTTCTTGGGGGCCAGGGAGATGGCTCAGTGGAATAAGAGCTTCGCTGGCAAGTGTAAGGGTCTGAGTTCAATTCCCGGTTCCACAAAAAAAAAGAACAGTGGTTTGCAAAGAGTGGTCTGAGCTCTCTGGAGGGTCTCCTAGACATTTCTGGTGGGTTGAGGAAATCATATTTCCATGGCAACACTGTTAGATGAAATCTTTCCACTTTTATTCTTTCCCCAGTGTAATCGTCCCTGCGCTGCATGAGGTGCGACACAGCAAAAGACTGGAAGCAGAGACAAATGAGAATCCAGCTGTCTTCTATCGGGCCGGATAGTAACCGGGTTTGCAAAGGTGTAAACCATCACTACTCCGCGCTAAGTGAGCTTTCGTTTTTTCAAAAAGGTGTTCTCCATAAAATGCTAATCACGCAATCGTGTAACGAAATTGTCAGTGCTTGTTTTGGGTCAGGAGCTCTCTAAAGAGCCCAAGCGGGCCTCGAACACGCGGACGGAGATCCTCCTGCCCCCGACAGTTCAGCCCCGGAGTCTCTGGCCTTTAGGGTTTGTTTTGCAAACGTGACAGGCGGGCTGTGGGAACAGCTGATGTTAAGTAGTGGCGCTCATTATTTTTACTGGCCCTGACATCAATTTCTTTCTTTCTTTTTTTTTTTTTTGGTACCGGGGATCGAACTCATGACCTTGAGGTCGCCAGGCCGACGTCGCTTATGCCGCAGAACTATCTCCCCCGGCCCGACCTCAATTCTTACTCCGGCCTTCGTCCCGATGTGTTCATTCTCATTTAATGCAATGAGAGAACTAGAGATAAAAACCAGCCCTGTTGTTCCTGCAAACGGTCTAAGGTGAGCAATAAATACCAGGAAGACTCCCGGTGGGCGGGACAGTGGTGGCACAAGACTTACTACCGCGCCCTGCGTCCGCGCCTTACCTGCCAGAGGTACCCCCTCACAGCGCCAACCGCCGTCCGCGCCGCCATCTTGCTGCCCCGCCTACCCGGATCGCTTCCGGGTCACAGCGCCTTCGTCGACCATAGAGTTCGAGGAAGACAGAGCGTATGCCGGTCGTCTGGCCCACGAACGACCATAGAGAGGTGATCCCTTGCTTTTTGTAGGATCCTAACCCCGGCTGGATAAAATCGCGTCAGCTGATACTTAGTTGTTACCAAGTCCTTTGTTTTCACCTACAAAACACGATGTTTGGTTTTCATCTGCAAAGCCATTCGTGGCTTGGTTTTGTTGGTTATTAAAACGTGTGGAAACACTAGTGCTGCGTCCAAATCTTAGTCCTTCACCTCCTCTGGGTGGTCTTTTGTGGTGGTAAACTTCCTTTCTTTCCCAACATTGGCTGGGGTCCTTGTTTCCGACTAACTTGAATACCACTGTCCTACTGATCTCGAATACTTCCTTTCTCTGTGCTACTCCGCTCTCTGAGATTCACCAGTAACGCTTTCACCTGCCGTGGCAACCCCTAAGTACTTAGTCTAGTTGAGAATGTTCATCATAGTTTTTTGCTTGTTCGTTTTGGTTTTTTAGACAGGGTCTCACTATGCAGTTCAGGCTGGCCTTCGGCTCACTTTGTAGCCCAGGCTGATCTGCAACTCACAGCAGTCTTCCTGCCTCAGCCTCGGCCTCCCAAGTACTGAGATACACCATAATTTCAATTCCAAGTGAAGAGGCTTATAACTGGATTTGCTGTCATAAATATCTCATTTGTCTCTGTCTTTTTTTTTTTTTATGTGTGTGTGTGTGTGTGTGTGTGTGGCCAGCTCAGCCCACCAGGGGGCGGGGCTGGTTGGCATGTGGTGCTGGGGGATCGAACCGCGGTCCCTGTGCTTTGCTAAGCTTGCTCTAAGTAGGCGCTTTAGACCACTGAGCCATCTCACCAGCCCCTCTTTCTGTCTTTGACTCCTCAGTGCTGGGATTATAGGCATCTGCCACCACACTTGACTTTTGTGCAAATTTCTAAGCTTTATTTTTCTAAAGTACTGTTAATATATGCAACTTATCATAGTTGAAACTTTAGAAGTTTTTTTTTTTTTTTTTTTTTTTTCGGTTGGGGGGCGGCCACTCAGGTTGCCTTCAGGGCAGGTCTGGTTTGGCTTGGGGATGAGGGGATCGAACCACAGCATCCTGAGCCTGACTGCTTTGTTTCAGCAGGCACTTAAACACCTGAGCTAATGAGCACGCCCCCTAATTGAAAATTTAGATGTAATTTTTTTCTTTTGTTTTTTTAGACATAATTGGCTTTTTGTTGTTGTTTTGAGACAGGATCTCACTATGCAGTCCACGCTGGCCTTGAGCTTATTTTGCAGCCAAGGCTGGTCTCGAACTCACAATGATCCTCCTGCCTCGTCCTCCTGAGTGCTGGGATTAAAGGCATGTGCCACCATTCCCGGAATTAATTTAGTTTCTAATTCCAAATTAACCACTTAGCTCTGATTTTGGGCAAGTTTTTCTTTTCTTTTCTTTCTTTCTTTCTTTTTTTTTTTTTTGCGGAACTGGGTATTGAACTCAGGCCCAGGCAAATGCTTATTCTACTGAGCTATCTTCCCGGCCTCGGCAAGTTTCTTCTCTACTCTGACCGATCTTCCTTCCTTTCTTTCTTTTTCAGAATTTGGGATTGATCCCTAAAGCCCTTTCTTAATTTTTATTATTTTAAAGAGAATAGAAAAAAATGATAAGATCTTTCTTTCTTTCTTTCTTTCTTTCTTCCTTTCTTTCTTTCTTTCTTTCTTTCTTTCTTTTTTTTTCCCTGTATTTGGTACAGGGTCTGCAGAGTCTATAGCGTCTCACTACATAGATCGGTTTGTAGTGATTCTCCAATTTTCAGCCTCCCAAGTGCTGGGATTACAGGCATGTGCCACCACGCCCAGTCTCAGTGTGTCCTGGGGGCGGGGCCAGCACCTGGGCCGGGGATTGAACCCTGGCCGCTGCATCTGCCTAAGAGGCGTAGTGTGCTGAATTATCAGCCTGGCCATCTTAGCTTTTCTGTGTACAGACATACAGGATTATTTCCCCCTTCCTTTTTTCCCTCCTTTCCTTCATCCCAATTGCTCCTTTTGCTCAGCTTCTTTCCTTTTTCTATCTCTATTGTAACCCTTTAGACTTTATATACTCTTTCAGGTTCTTACACTAGGGAGACAATACGGTGTTTACACCTGTGGCTCTGATTTATTTCACTTGTGAGTATAGGCTCTAGTTGCATCCGTGTACCCACCAAAGCCTCAAGTTTTATTCTCCTTAAGTCATAGAATTTCTCAGGCTGAGCTCAATTTTCAATCCTCCTGCCTCAGCTGCCAAGAGTGCCGGGATTACAGCTGCGTACCACTCTGCCTGCCCTCACTTTGCTCATATATCAAATACAAATGATGATAACAGATCCTACTTCAAGTGTTGCTGTGAGGATTCAGTGAGACCCTGCTGCATGGCATCTTTTCGTACCACAGCAGACACAAATACAGGATCAGTGGCACCCACTGTTTGCAGCATTATGTTGCTCCTGTCTCATCCAGTTCACAAGGTTGTAGGGATGATTAAATGAGAAAAGGGCAGTGTATGTGAGTGCTTTGTAGATATAAATAAAGCCCCGAGGATGTTGCTGTCCCTGCCCCACAAGTACTACCGTATTTTGCAACAAAGAGAAGAGGACAATGAGATAACTTGCTAAACATTACATACACTGGGAAAGATCTCGGAGCAGAAAGAAGGCAGTTTCCCTCCCCTGGCCTGGCTCCCATCTTTCCAAATGGCACGTCCAGGATGGACCCCGGGCCGAGTGCCCCACACCTGTGTCGCTGTCATCATAGCCTGAAAACCACTTGCACTTACAAGAAGACACAAATTTGGATCCCAATGTCCTAGGTGTGGGAACCAGTCCAGAGACAACAGGACCATCAAGGTCATGCTGCGAGTTGGTCACAACTGAGCCAATAATCACCTTCCAAGTCCTACATCATTGTCTTTTCACCCTTGCAGTGGGCTGATCCTGGTTTTATGCTGAAGACTTGGTCTGTTGAAGTCTCTTGGTCGGGGGAGTGGAGATACCACCCTCTCCCATAAGGACAGACTGACAAATGGTACGAGAAAGTCTTCAGATTGGACACCTGGGCCCCTGGTGGCAGACTTGCATCTTACAACACCGTCTAAATGCACACTCCTCTCCAAAAGAGTCCTTATTGTATTTGGTTTAGGACCATCTAAAACAGATGGCGAGGATGGGGGAGATAGCTCGGCAGCCTGCCTGGCAAGCTCAAGGATCCAGGTTAGATCCCTGGTACCGCATGCTGTGCCAGCCACTGAAACTGAGTGTGGTGATGCATACCTCAATCCCAGCAGTAAGGAGGCTCAGGCAGGAAGATCACCTAGAGTTTGAGGCAGCCTAGACTACATAGTGAGTTCAAGGCCAATGTGAACTACACAGCAAGACCCTGTCTCAAGCCAAATAGCCAGCCAGCCAACCAACCAACCAATCAACTAACCAACCTAAATACTTGGCTACAAGTAGTTTTAAACAGAATCTAGAAGATGAAGGGCTTGCACAGGAGTGCCCTGCTTAGAGCAGATTTTGTGTAAAAGTCAGAATTTCATATTTCTTTTATAGTTTTT